CATCCTCTCTCATTCATAAGGTCCCTGTCTCCATCTCCATTCTGTTTCTGGATAATCTTCTTTTCCACATTTCTTCCCGTGTTTTTGGTTGTGTATGTTTTGTTCATGCAATGTCTCCAGGGTTAGACAAGCTTTCTGCTCTCTCTCTCAAATATGTCTTCTTGGGCTATTCCCGTCTTCAGAAAGGGTATCATTGTTACTCTCCTGAAACAAAGAAATACTACATGTCTGCCAATGTCACGTTCTTTGAACAGACCCCTTACTTCTCTCCATCTGTTCAAGATGTTCATGTCATACAGCAGGGCCTTCCTATTCTAGTGGTTGAGTACAATCTTTCTAATGTCTCTGTCAATCCTGGTCAAAGTCTTGATCAAAGTCCTCTTGGGCCATCATCTCCACCTATTCATACCTCCTAGACAGATAGTCCCGTTTTCCAAGAATATGGTGAATCCCCTACTTCAGATACTTCTCCCTCGTCCCTTGATACCACGACTCCTGGTGAAGGTGATTCAGGTTAGCCCATTGCTCTCAGAAAAGGTACTCGTTCCACTCGAAATCCACATCCCATTTATAATTGTCTTAGCTATCACAAATTATCGCTTTCTTATTGTTCCCTTTTATCTGCAGTATCTTCTATTGTTATTCCCAAGAATGTGAATGAAGCACTTGATCATCCTGGATGGCGACAAGCCATGATTGTAGAGATGTAAGCTCTTGAACAGTCATATTTGGAAGCTCGTGCCTATCCCACCGGGTAAGAAGGCTTGTGGTTGCTGATGGGTGTATGCAGTTAAAGTTGGCCTTGATGATCACTCAAAGCTCGATTGGTTGCAAAAGGATACACTCAGGTTTATGATCTTGATTATTGTGACACTTTCTCTCTCATGGCCAAGATGATTACTATTCGTCTCTTCTTTGCCATGGCAACCATTAGTCACTGGCCACTTCATCAATTGGATATCAAAAATATCTTCCTTCATGGTGATTTTGAGGAAGAGGTTTACATGGAGCAACCTTCTGGGTTCGTTGCTTAGGGGGAGTCTGGTATAGTATGCAAATTGCATCATTCTCTAATGGCCTCAAGCAATCACTACGTGCTTGGTTTGGAAAATTCAGCTCCATTGTTCAAAAATTTGGGCTAAGACGTAGTGAAGGAGACCATTCTGTCTTTTACTATCATACATCTCTCGGGAAATGTGTTTACCTAATAGTATATGTTGATGTAGTCATTACATGAAATGACATTGATGGAATATCTCAACTAAAGGAGTACTTGTGTAGACATTTTCAAACCAAGGATCTTGGAAGCCTCAAATACTTCTTGGGCATTGAAGTAGCTCAGTCAAAAGATGGAATTATAATCTCTCAAAGGAAGTATGCTCTTGATATATTACAAGAAATAGACATGATTGACGGTAGACCAGTAGACAGTCCGATGGACTCAAATTAGAAGCTAACGACATAAGAAGGTGAATTATTCTCTAATCCAGAGAGATATAAGCGGCTTGTTGGAAAACTAATTTATCTTACTATTACTAGGCCTGATCTATCTTTTGCAGTTGGAGTGGTTAGTCAGTTTATGCATACTCCATATCTTGGACATTGGAATGCCATCATTCGTATTTTAAGGTATCTCAAGAAGGCTCCTGGACAAGGTTTACTATATGGAGATAAAGGAAATGTTCAAGTCTCCGAGTATTGTGATGCTGATTGGGCAGGCTCCCCTATTGACAAACGTTCTACTATAGGATATTGTGTCTTCCTTGGAGGAAATGTAATCTCATGGAAAAGTAAGAACCAAAATGTAGTAGCCCGATCATCCGCTAAAACTGAATATCGGGCAATGGTGTCTCTCACTTGTGAACTTATATGGGTAAAACAATTTCTTTGGGAGCTTAATTTCTGTGAAATCCAGACCATGAAGATGTACTGTGACAACCAAATTACTCTCCACATTGCATCAAATCCGGTATTTCATGAGAGGACTAAACACATAGAAATTGACTGCTATTTTGTTCGGAAAAAATTAATGTCCAAGGAAATTTGTACTGAGTTCGTTGGGTCAAATGACTAACTTGCAGATGTGTTGACCAAGTCATTAAGAGGACCTCAGATTGAGTTCATTTGTTTCAAGCTTGGTTCATACAATTTGTATGCTCCAGCTTGAGGGGGAGTGTTAGAATAATGACTTCCTAGTATTATCATTAGACCTAAATATAGGGTGTTGAGTGTAGGAAACTTCTTATATCTGTATCTAGGTCTGCAGCTAGGGTCCTAGTTACATTCTCTTATTTAGTCTTCTATGTCTTATTGTATCAGATTTTCCATTATAAATAGAAGAAAGGGAGAATGGTTCCGTGAGCCCTGGAGATATATTTTTTTCTCTATTAATCTTAAGTATTATAATAAAAATGTTCTATTAAGTATGTTTTATGTTCCAAGGCTCACGATGAAATAATAATTTGCAGTGGTTTCTGGCCTACACTGGCTGTGTTCATACAGAAGATCCCTATTCTTGGTTGGTTGTTTCAACAACCATACATTCGATCGGTAAGAAGTTGTGCTGAAATGTCTTTTTCCTGTCATCATATTTCTTATGCATTTATATATGCCGTTAAAGCTATTTATTTTAGTATTTTATACTCCTGCACATTACCATATCAATGCTGGATTTTGATGAAGTCTTATAAAAGAATCTCGGTAGCTGTGGTAGATCTTAACTTAGTTTTCATTGATAAATGTCTTGAAGAATACCTGGGTCGGTTTATCTGTCAAGGGATTGTTGATTGATGTTTAGTATTTCTAGTTTTATATATCTGTCAAATATGCTGTAGAATTTCTTCAGGTTCTTTAGTAGATGTTAAAACTAAGCATTCAGTTGCATAATATGCTGAAAGTATCAAACTATGCTTTTTCTGTCAACTTGCAGTTATTGGACCGCTATAGAGGCAGACGAGTGCCTGTGTAACACGTGGAACTTTAGAAGATTATGTAGCTGCTAGGAAGCGCATTTGTAAGTCAGTGTAAAGAATATACTCTCATGGAGACCCTAACTCTGAATTGTGACGGAAGAAAAATGTCAGTCATTTTATTCATTGAAAAAAAGGTTTTTGTATTCATTACAACTCCTTTGTAGCCCATTTTTATTACCAAGCTTGTGGAAAATCAATCAATTGATCATCGAAGTTCTCAGTTCTTCAACTTCATCTGCATTACTATTCAAATCAGACGACATCTGTGGAAAAGTTTCTGTACCTATGGTGGCATTAGTTTACTACTTCCCTCCGGAATATAACAAATTTAAATGATATCAAATGGTGCAGCAATATGGGGATTTGATATTTTTATTTATTTATTTTTCGTAATCTCTTCGAGTGAGATTTGGGATTATTTGAGGAATTAAACTTTTTGAAATATAATTATCTTCCTTTTCGTTCTGGTGCCATCTCTAAGATTCTTCGTAGTTAACCCTTAGCAAATTGTTGAAAACGTAATTACTTATTTACTCTGTATTTTTGATAAAGAAGATGAGACAATAAACCGAGAAAAATTACATCCACAGATTTTTTTTTTTCTTTCTGATGTATTATTGATGACGATTATTCATGGTGGTGCATGGTGGACCGGATAGACTGCAACATTTTGATGATATATAATAATTGCAAACAGTAATTTCTTGTATGATACGATTCGAACCCTTAAATTGTTCCGTTGGCGTTTAGGACATCAACTACTTCACGTTAATAGCCCGAAAATGGGGAAAAAAGAAGTTATAGAGATATGCGTTCTAGTATTCTCTTCATAATCAACCATTCAAGTAAATTATGTTTTCCTGTATAAATGTCTTATAGTATAATGGTCATAATAATCTCAATGTAAACTATTTTTTTTTCAATCACAATGTAAAACTATTTCGTATTGTCACTATCATATTTTTTCCCTATCTTAAAATGTTAAAACTTTTTTATATTTATTTTGAATAGAAGATTTTTTTAGATGATGTAATTAGAAGATGTAATGAAAAATGCTAACTATTATTTTTTTTAATCAGAAGTCAAGAAAAAAATTATTGATAATATAAAAAATCCAAACATATTTAAGTTTTTTATGAAAAATATAAAAGGTTGTTACTTAAGTCGGGAAAGTCTACCAAAATGCATGATTTGATTAAATAATCAATCACGGCAATTTAATTTTTAGTAAACCATCAAAATCTATTTTTAGTAGCTAATATTTTATTTTTGTTTAAAAACACTACACAAATCAATTTATTTCATTGTTCAAAATGCTAGTAAACAAATTTACGGGACATAAAACACAGTTAAAAAAAATATTATTGACGAAAATGTTTAAACAAATATTGGGGACTAAAATAATTTAGTAATTCATCATAAACAAAAAAGTTTAAATGAAAATAAAACCTTTTAACTTTTTTAACATAACCACACATATCTTTCACATAGAATAAGTAAGCTCAAATTGGATAATAACGTTTTTGATGGATGGTATTCGGGTGTCTAATACTCAAATTTGAGATGACTTATTAAGCTAAAATAACCACGTATTTGAAAAAATGAGTAAAACAGTCTTCCATTAAATAAAAATAAATAAAATTGAATAATTTATAAGAAAAAAAATTATGTAAATAAAATCTAAAATTTATCTCTTCATGCTCCTTACACTTATGACTAACAAGGTCTAGAATACCAACACCAATTTACGCATGCCATAAGCATAGTATTCAAATATAAGTGCATAAAAAGTAACAAGTCACAATTGACAACCTAATGATTTTCATTAATAGCATGTGTGCTTATGACACCAAGTAGTCACGCAACACCAAAGGTTGCAATTTCCAGCACAAGGTATGTACACATACAGTATAGTCTATACAAAAAGTAAACATGCTCTAACAAACAGATTTTTAAAACTAAAGAAACTTGTTTGGGGTCAGGGCTGCACACGTTAAAAAATTGATGAAGTTCATAATTTATGACATGCTACTCCCCGCAACTGAGCTCAATCCATGAGTTTTCTGAAAGTTCCAACTTTTCCATCTCAAATTGCTTAGCCACCCAAACTGAATCAAAGGTTGCCCAAAATGGTGTAGATTCACTATATTCCTTCTGTATGGTATCAGAAAATTTCTCAGACCTGTCATTTACAGAGGAAAAAATAGTCAGCACAAATGTTCTAAGCAACTAACTCCTCTCCTTACAACAACAAAGCATAACATTATTGAACCATAAAGGAATATAAGAATGGATAAAATTTAGGTGTGGTTCTACAAGTGCTTTGGGTACTATTCTCCAAGCATAATTAAAGTTTTCACCTTAAATATTAAACTTTATTGTGGAGGTGAATGAAACCAAATTTTGATTAGATAACAACACTAAAAGCAGTTAAGGAACAACATGAAAACATTATCCTAACAATATTTGGTGCATGGAGTACCATTAATACACATTGTCTTGTAGAGATGAGCAACATGAGGATCTCCTTTAGTACTCCCACGCTGCTTTTCCAAACACTCTAGAAAGGCTAAGTCAGCCTTCAGCATCTTAGCTTGATCATGAGTATCATACCCTATATCATGGCAGTAACAGCAGAAATCCAACCAATCAATCGGTCTCCTGTCCCAAACAAGAGATCCTCCATCTTTCCCACTTGACCAGTTTGGTCCACAGTAATGTCCATATCTGGGAAACAGCTGAGAAAGAAATGCTCTGACCCCTGTATGCCATGGAACCTTACACACATATGGCCGGAAGTGCAAAGGGATAGCCTCACCATCTTCTCCGTCACCATTCTTGCCACGTTGTGCTTGCCTCTTTAACCCTTTATTGATAGTAGATGGCCTTTGAAATTTGTCTCCAGCAATCTTTCCCCAAGGAAACAATGAAAGGAAGGGTAGTTTGGGTTCATTGCCAGATTCTCCTTTGGTGAAAGCTTCGGTAGGAACTGAATTAGTCACCAATTTCGTGTTCAATTGAGCATTAAACCAAGGGATTTTACCAAGAAACTCCAAGTTCATGGTGGATAAAACTAGAGTCACCAAAGCACACAGTTTGCTACCTCAGAATCAAATATTCTGATAACCTGCCAACAGAAAAACAAAAGGGGCTATCCCCAATCAGCTAAACAACTTCATTTGAATGTAACTAGAATGCACTGTCTGTAAATTTTGCTACCTAATTGTACAATAAAATTGTTAATTTTTTTCAATAATGATATACAGGGTGATTCCAATTGATTGAGACTAAAAAATCATTACAAATAAAATAATGTAATTTTTTCAAAAAATAAAAATAAAAATAAAATAATTTGGTGTATATTGAATTCTGAAACCACGATTTGCATCAGAACTAGTGCTCAATAGCATCATAGATTATTCCAGTAAAAAGTTACAGAAGTTGAACAATACGCTGTTTGATCGAGCATGGATGCAGTCTTCAACAGCTGAAGCAAATGCAGAAACTGAAAAAATATACCCAAAGAACACGCAAACTTTCCCATTTAAAGATATCTACACCACTAACCAATCATCTGCTTGAAAATGAAAAATCGCAGAAAAAAGGGAATTGGGTTTCTTCCATATTGTTGTATCATAAACACACCTATTTGAAATTTTATTATTTTTTCTAAAAGAAGAAATTTTGATATTGGATTTCTTCCATCTAAAGATATTACACATAGACTTCCGTACACATTCCTCAGCTTGAAAACTAGAAGTTTCAGAAAAAAGGATAATTAGTTTCTTCTATCATAAACACACACCCATCTCTTTTTATTTTTTTGTACTTTCGTCTAAAAAATAAAACTTTGAAATTAGAAAGGTAATTCATAGTTGAGTTTAGAACATGATCAGACTTACTTGTACTTCATCTGCAATACCATGATCTGAGGTGAAGGGAAGAAGAAGGAGGAGAGAGAGATGGGTTCGAGGCTGGACTTGGGTGGGGGAATAAGGTAACCACAAAAGGACCACTAATTCCACACCATTTCTTCATGAGCAGAGTGGGACCCACTAGGTCGGAAGAAAATAGTTATTTTGCATATTAGTTCAGTTATGGTATTTATGGAAAACCTTATTAATGAATCTTGGATATAATAACCTGTTTTTTAATATGAGGTTGGATCACAATAGAAAGGAAGAGTGAGAAAAGAAAACAAAGATATATAATTATATTAACAAAATTTATTACGTTAAAATATTTAAAAATAATAATATAAAGTGGATTATATTACAAATATAGTTTATAATTTTTATTTTTATTTTTATTTAATTTTTTAAAATACAAAATATATTTTATTTTTTATTTTACTTGTCTATTTTTTTACCTATTATAACAATCCGCAAATTTTATTTAAAATTTTCACTAAAGGAAGGAAGAAAATAACTTTTTCACCTATGAGAGGTATAATAGTTCAGTTTACATTCATCTAGAATAGTTGAAAAACATCACACATCAAAAGTCATAATTACACTAATGTTTTACGTATAATTACACAACCCAAAATAATTCCTTCAAATTTAAGAGATCTCTACTCATTTATCAAATTACTAGATCTTACTACCACCTATAGAAGATTTGGAATCTGCTCACGTGTATAACATGATCATAGCAGGATCCCAAAAGATCAAGCACACAACAAAAGTAAGGGTAAGCTATAATTTAATTAAATATGTAAAACAGTGTAACATTGCAAACGACACTTATTCATTCACAAACATCCTAAAGCTAGACTCACAGAAGAGTCTAACATTTTACAATCACAACACACAACAAGACTGACGCTTTCCGAAAAACTATATGGAATCCAGACCAGTAAGGCAAACACCTGATAAGGAATATTTGGGGTCCTAGACCCTTAAAATTTCATGGCCCCAAACCTATAATATCATTTTTCAACCTCTCATTAGAGCAACACACGCATAGGATTGACACTATGTTGTGTGTCTCCATCGACTTCCCCACCACAGATGTCTTCGTCTATATGACTAGGAACATCTTGGAAGTTTGGATGCCCTATTACGCCTATCCATAATTCCATACATACTATTCTACACAGTACATCAAGTCTATCATTCAATAACTATCATAGTTTTCCTTTGGGTCTTACAACCTGTATTCTCACATTATCAGGTCTTAGTACCCTTCACATTTCATTATTAACTCATATTCAACATAGAATAGTCAAAGGATGCAACAAAACATCAATAAACCAATTGCAAGTGACCTGCTATCAGTATAATCAATTACAACTGGTTTAGTAATCGATTACCAGAGCGAAATTGGATTTCTAATTCCTTCATCAGTAATCGATTACCACATCACTATAATCGATTACGCCCCTTGTAGAGTCAGATTATGTAGATGCAGTATTTCAGCAAAACACAGCCAGTATAACTCAGGGTTTCTAGAATCAAACCAATATCATGCAGTTCAAAATGTCCAACCCAACATTTAAAACTCTCAACTCCTATGCAATCACAATTCACTTAAAACGATACATCCTTTTGATGTGAACATGACCTATTATAAATGCTAGATCAAGGGAAGCAAATGAAGTTCTTCAACAAGTATTGTTGGTTGACCAAATTGTGTTTTGGATTAATCAATTAATGGGCTTTAGTTTGATTTTATTCCAAGTTGTAATAAGGGCTAATTGGAAATTTTGTTATCAGTCTTTGGGAGACCAAGAGGGTGTATAGTTGATTGACTTTTGGTTGCCACAATTTTAGTTACAATCAGTCATTAAGTAGTTTTCAATTCCTAGGTTAATGGATCATTATTAGCCTTTATTCGTCTCCATTAAATAGTTTTCAATTCCTAGGTTAATGAATCATTATTAGCATTTATTTTCCTTTATTGAATCTTTGTAATTCTGATGGCAAAACTTTTATATAGCTGAACCATTTTTATAAAAAATAACAAGTGAAATTTTATTCAAAAGTATTAGAGTTTATCTCTTTTATCTTAGTGAGAGTGATTCTCCTAAATTCTTGAGTGATTAAAGAACCTTTGGGCTGTATCAAAGGACTTTCAAATCCTTTGTGAGTTCCCTTCCTTGGGAAGAGTGATTCTTTGCTTCCACCTTATCACTAAATTCCTAAATTTCTTACAAGATTTTAACCCTAAAGATCCTAAATTATCTCTTGTTCTATTGAGATTCATATTAGTTGGTATCAGAGCCCCGATTTAAGGGTTTGAACATCAAATTGATGGCAGAAGAGGAAAATTACAATCAAGAAGCAGGAATTAGTCCATTTCAAATGAGAGCATTGATACAACATTTGGAATGATTAATGATACGATATAACAATGAGCTCCATGAAAGATTGAACCGATTGAAGAATAGAGATCCCGAAGATGAAGAAGAAAGGAGAAATAGGAGAAGGAATGATGGAGTAGCAAGATCAAGTAGGCTTGAAGGAGTCAAGCTTAGCATTCCTCTGTTCAAAGGAAAAACTAATTTGGAGGCATACTTGGAGTGGGAGATGAAAATAGAGCATGTTTTCTCATGCAAAAATTATGAGGAGGCCCAAAAGGTGAGGCTTGCAACTACGAAATTTTCTAACTATGCTCTTGTTTGGTGGAACAAGCTACAAAAGGAGATATGTAAAAATGAAGAGCCAATGGTTGATACATGGACTGAGATGAAAAGGATCATGAGGAAGCGGTATGTGCCAGCTAGTTATTCAAGGGACTTGAAATGTAAACTTCAAAAACTTACTTAAGGCAACAAGGGGGTTGAGGAGTATTTCAAGGAAATGGACATGCTCATGATTCAAGCAAAGATTGAAAAAGATGAAGAGGTAACTATGACCCGATTTATTGGTGGTTTGAATATTAATATACGTGATATTGTTGAGTTGCAGGAGTTTGTTTATATGGAGGATTTACTTCATAAAATAATTCGAGTGGAGCAATAACTCAAAAGAAAAGAAGTGGCTGAGAAGAGTTCTACCAACTTTGGATCTTCAAGTTGGAAGGACAAAGGCAAGAAAGATGGGGGTTGTTACTTCTAGTAGTTCCACACCTATTCCTACAAAGACTCCTTCAAAGTTTGAAGAACAACCTTCTAAAAGAAGTAGAGATGTGAAGTGTTTCAAATGTCAAGGTCTAGGACACTATGTTTATGAGTGCACTAACAAAAGGTTTATGGTTCTTAGAGAGGGAGAATATATAAGTGAATCTGAGGTTGAAGAGGGAGAGGAGAGTGAGGACATAGAGGAGGAGGAGATTCCAAAGGGAGATTTATTAATGAATAGGTAATTACTTGATGGGCAATTGAAGCCTATGGAAGAAAGCCAAAGAAAAAACATTTTCTACACTAGATGTTTAATCAATGACAAGGTGTGCATGATGATCATAGATGAAGGTAGTTACACCAATGTGACTAGTGCTAGATTAGTGTTAAAACTAAATTTACCTACTAAACCACATCGTGGGTCTTATAAACTTTAATGGCTTAGTAGGGATGGGGAGGTGCAAGTGAGGAAACAAGTTGAAGTGAACATTTCCATTGGAAAATAGAATGATAAGGTACTTTGTGATGTTGTTCCTATGGAGGTCAGTTACTTACTTTTGGGGAGACCATGACAATTTGATAAAAGAATCAATCATGACGGGTTCACCAACAAGATCTATTTCATGCACCAAGACAAAAAGATTGTGCTCAAAACTTTGAGTCCACAAGAAGTGTGTGAGGATAAAAAGAAAATGAGAGAAAAATTTCTTCAAGAAAAGAGAGAAAAAAAAAGCGTTAGTGAAACACTTGAGAACAAAAAGAGTGATCAAAAGAAGAGTGAAACACTTGAAGTGAGGGAGAGCTATTTAGCCATAAAAAGTGAGTATAATGTTTGTTCTACATTCAAACATAGAGAGTGATTCTTTCCTTCCACCTTATCACTAAATTCCTAAATTTCTTACAAGGTTCTAATGCTAAAGATCCTAAATCATCTCTTGTGCTATTGAGATTCATATCACCTTTCTCCTTCAAACCAACACAGACCAACCATACAATTTA